CACACACACACACACACACACACACACACACACACACACTACAAAGACAACAAAAAAGAGCAGCAAGTAGAGAGGGAAAAATGGCCCAAGGCTAACTTGTTGGAAGGAAGGGGTACAGCAACACGAGGGCAGAGAGCTGTGCGTCAAAGCCGTGGCACAGATGAAGAAATTGGGCTCAGAAGGAAAGAATATCTGTGGGGGAAATCACCAAGTCGTTGGCGCTCTCTTCCTCATCCTTTTCCTTTGAGAATTGTCCCCGCCCTCTCCATTTCCGGGGTACTGCAGGTGGGGGAAGCCCCTTTCCACTCACCAGGAAGGGGCCATGCTCCGTGAGTAAGCCATCCAGGGAGCTGCAGCCGGGACCCCCGTTGAGCCACAGTACCACAGGGCTGTTCTGGGGATCATTCTGGGCCTCCACAAACCTGGGGAGGGGTCACGACCGGGTCATTATAGATCGAGGGGTCCCTCTGAGCTTTCCTCGCTCTCAGATGTGCTCACGGGTCTCAGAAGCAGCCCCCTACTCTCCATTCTGCCTTGCTCGGACGTCTCAGTGTGCGCCCCCCCTCCCCGCAACCCGCCCGGGGATTCGGGGCTCGCCGACCAATAGTGCAGGTGCTTGGAGCCGGTGCCGCGGAGGTAGCCGGAGTAGTGGCGGAAACTCGGCTGCTTGGCCAGTCCGGGGAGGCGCTGGACCTCGTCCTGTTTGGGGGCTGCCTCGTCCAGCGGCGCCCAGCACAGGAGCAGCAGCAGCAGGGGCGGCAGCGAAAGCGCGGCTCCGAACATCTGCAGATGGACCGTCGGAGGGCGGGTGGTGTCGCGGGCCTGGGAGCCTCAGACCCAGCTCTGCGCCCCCCCGCGCACGGTCCCGCCCCGCGGGGGTCTCGCCCCGCGCCCCCAGCGCGCTTACCTCGGCGTCCCCGCGTTTCTGATCTCTAGGAGGCGCCCGGCTACTGGAAGTCATGTGTATGCCGAGTCACGTGCACACGGCTATCACGTGATTGCCTTCTTCCACCTTGTTTGGTCCCCACTGTCTAAGTGGGCGGTGACAGAGTAATTTTACCGTGGATCAGGGTCCTGGAGTGTGGCGGGTCGCACCCCGAGCCGGGGGGGAGGAGGGGGCGACACATGACTCGGGTGTGGGCCTCCTTGGGGACCCAGGTCGACTGGACCGACGCCTGAGTCAGCGGCGCTAGGACCCCTGGGCAGATGACGAGGATGAGAGCCAAGGGGGGAGGTGGAATACCTTACATGGTGACCCGTGGTCAGCAACTCAGCCCGCCGCCCAAAATAGCCCCCGGCGCTTGCTGGCCGGGCTCCTGCGGGGGAGATGGCAGCTGCCTCCGCCGCGGTGGACCTGGGCGCGCCCTGGGGACCTGGGCGTCCCGAGCCCGCTCCCACCCGCTTCCACCGGGTGCACGGAGCCCACATCCGCGTGGACCCTTCCGGGACGCAGGCCACCCGTGTGGAGAGCTTTGCCCACGGCGTGTGCTTTAGTCACGAGCCGCTGGCCCCGGGCCAGGTGTTCCTGGTGGAGATCGAGGAGAAGGAGCTGGGCTGGTGCGGCCACCTGCGCCTCGGCCTGACCGCACTCGACCCTGCCACCCTGCCTGCGGTGCCCGAGTTCTCGCTGCCCGACCTGGTCAGCCTCGGCCACACCTGGGTCTTCGCCATCACGCGCCATCACAACCGTGTGCCTCCCGAGGGCCACCCGGAGGGGGAGGTCGTGGTCCCCAGCCGACCCCCGGCGCTCTTGGAGGAGCCCTATTTGTGCATTGAGCAGTTTCGAATTCCCCGGGACCGCCTGGTGGGCCGAAGCCGCCCAGGGCTCTACAGTCACCTGCTGGACCAGCTCTACGAGCTCAATGTGCTGCCCCCGACCGCGCGCCGCAGCCGCCTGGGCGTGCTGTTCTGCCCGCGCCCGGACAGCACGGCTGACATGCATATCGTCATTAATGGCGAGGACATGGGCCCCAGCGCCCGGGGCTTGCCGGTCTCCCAGCCCCTGTACGCGGTGGTGGATGTGTTCGCCTCCACCAAGAGCGTGCGCCTGGTGCAGCTCGAGTATGGCTGTGGGTATCCCGCCCCTTGGGCAGTGACCTCGTTGGCCCAGTGTAGGGATAGGAACCTGCTAAGACTTTTAGTTAGATAATTCGACCTTGGTCCAGAATTGGCTTAGAAGATGAGGAATCTGGCCCCAAATTCCACCCCTCCTTGTGGTCTTGGACAACTTACTCTCTAGCTTTGGGCCTCAGTTGACCCATCTTGGACATAAGTGGTAGAGTGCCCTCCTACATTCCTTCTTGCTTTGGCATTATTTACGGAATTAGCGTACAGCTGGCGTTCTGAGTGGACTTTAGATTGTGGATACAATTAAGAATTGTGTGCTCCCAAGTGGAAAATGCACATAGTTTACAGGCTTCCAGATTAAGCTGCTTACCCCTGAGGGCTGTCCGAGGTGCACACTAGTCCTGAAGCCCTTAATTTATTATAATAAGCCTGATCTTATTCCGTGACCTTGAACCCACTCTGCGAGGCTGGTCCAAGAGGCTGGTGTAGTGTTCAGCCAGCCATGACCCCTGAAAGCTACTTGGTAAAGAGGTGGACAAGTGCTGAATGTTGTCCTAGAAACCCAACTGCAGCATGCTGAGAGTTCACAAGGAGAGGTGCTTATTTCAGCCACATTAACAACCATGAAGCAGGCTGGGTCCGGAGAGAAGGAACTTGTCCAAGCTAACAGCAAAGCAGGCACCTGAACCTAGTTGGTCTGGGGCTCAGCCTTCGTCATCCCTTTTTTCATTTCCCTTCTCTCTCCAGTGCCGTCCCTCCAGACTCTCTGTCGCCTCGTGATCCAGAGGAGTGTAGTGCACCGGCTGGCCATTGACAGGCTCCACCTGCCCAAAGGGCTGAAGGATTTCTGCAAGTATGAGTGAAGGTCTCGCAGCATGTGCTGGCCCCAGAGCTGCGGCTTGTCTGCAGCTGACCAGACAGCTGTTAGCCACGGCCAGAAATAAACACAGCCTTTGGGGACAGTCTGCTCATTGGAGAGTGTCCTTGCCCCTCTAGTCAGCAAAGGGCACATCATTTAGGATCCATCATTGCAAGTCAGTAGGTCAGAGCAAGAGATTGCATCTTTGAGGTCATGGAGCCCTGTGGTTCTTAGCGGGGCCATTGGGACACTTAGAGTTGGCACCATGGGCCCCACTTTCAGAGACTGTTGTGCACAAGAGTGTTAGACTTAAGGCTTTTTATTTTTCTGGTTCCTCTGGAGTGCCTAAAGAGCAACCACAGAGGTGAAACTCATCCCTAGAACAGAGGCCTTCAGCCTGGGATGCTGGATTTAAGTGGTCTGGGATACGGCTGAGCCTTGCTATTTTTAAAAGTTGCCCAGGAGATTCTAATGCACAGCCTAGGGAGAGAACCAGTGCTCTATATGGTTTCATTTTGCAGATGGGAAACTGAGGGCCAGGGGTGGCCGTGTATTAGCTCCAAGAGTGCACAGCAGACGAGCATATGCAGAGATTCAGAGGGCTCTTTCACTCTGCTGGGCACAAAGCATTAGACCCCTACATTTCCCCGCCTTTGCTTATCTCCCAGGGATCCCATTTAACCCTCACTACCCCTGTTGGGGGACACACATGAAGATGGCCAGGTGCCTTCCTTGCTCAAGGGAAGGACAAGAACTTAGAACACCCACTTCCTGGGCCAGTACTTTTAACGTGTGTCACTGTCACAGATGAGTTATAGAATAAACAAGTGCTGTGAGGTAGGCTCCAGATGTAAAAGGGAGGGACTATGAGGTGAAGTTCTAGAAGGCTGGAGAGGGTAGGACAAGAGGCTGATTACTGTTCCCTCATAATCAGGGGCCTTGGGGTGGCCATGTCCTATTTCATGTCTCCACAAACTCATCTGGGTCTTCTGCCTTCTGATCAAGGTGAGAGAGTGGCTCTTGGAACTGGAAAGGGTCCGCCTTCCCCAAAAAAAGCTACTTTCTGGCTCCAGGGAGGAGGTTCCGTTGGGCTGGCCTACAGCCAGTTCTCTTAGAAGAAACATCATTTCGAAAGTCCTCACCAGTAATTAATTTCCTACTTGCTCATTCATCCATCCAGCCCACAGTTCCTCCCCCTCACTTACTCACTGCTGGGCACAGGGGTTATGGACAACTCCTCTCCAACCTCAGGCAGCTCTCTGGTCCTCCCCTGATCCAGCTACCAGTGCCCCACCCCGTTGCCCTGCCCTTCAGGGCTTCCTCAGGGAGACCAAAAATAACATTCCATCTCTTTCCTGTCTCTGCAGGTGGGGCTGCTTCGCCACACCCCTCCCTTGGCCTCTATAACCCTGCAGAACCAGTGGTGGTGGCCCCTGGTGGACTAGGCTCGTGGAGCCAGAAAGCTGAGCAGCTAGTACCTGCTGCCCAGGCCTGGGGCCCAGGCCTGGTCATTCCAGAGGCCAGGGGCTGCCCTGTGGGGCCTAGCTGGGAGCCACAATGGCAGGAGTATGGCCAATACTGTCCCAAACTACCCCCAGGGAGGCAGCAGGAGAACAGCTGCTCCAGAGGCCGAGCACCCCAGGTGGGTGGCCCTAGCCGGCCCGGGCCCCTGCTGTTGTGCAGGCTGTCACCAGGGGCTCTGCCTGCCGAGGTGGCGGGGCGGGAAGCTGGCTCACAGCCCAACATCTGCATCCTAACCTTGGCCATGATGATCGCTGGCATTCCCACCGTGCCTGTCCCAGGGCTGCGGGAAGAGGATCTGATCCGGGCAGCCCAGGCTTTCATGATGACCCATCTGGAGCCAGAAGGAGTCGTGCAAGGGACACAGGCGCCCACCCACACGGTCTCTGGGCAGATGTCCCTTGTGAGGTCCACAACTGTCCTGCCTCCTGCTTGTAGCTGGATGAAATAGCACCAGACACACTGGGTGTCTTCTGCGTATGGTTTTTGGGGGCCTATAGCAAGGATGGGGATAGGGTGGTTGTGTGAGCCACAGTGACTAACAGCAGTCCTTCGCGGGGGCCAGACTCCACCCGAGTTTCCCCAGGCACTGAGATCTCAGGAAAGAGATCCTGTCAGTAGTTTGCAAAGTCAGCGGAAGTACAGGCAGCCTAGCTTGGACAGTAGAGACCTTTGTACTGGTTTGGAGACTCAAGCAAAATGTCTAGGCAATGTGAAGTTCACTCTTGCCTGAACTTCCCAGTCCAGCATATACCCCCTCTCCTCTTAACCACCCTGTGGGGACCCTCATTTGAAAAAAACTGAAGCCAAGAGGTGACTTGTCTGAGGTCCCTTAGCTGGTAAAAGAGTGAACCAGACCTCAAATCAGACAGAGGAACTCCCAAGTTTATATTCCTTCCAATATATGCCCTAAAACAAACAAACAAACAAAATCTAAGCAACACAAGGGCTGGAACGTATAGCAACTTTATTAACCTCAGGAAGGGGAAGGGGGGGATACTGAGGCCTGGCTGGGCCAGTTTCCCAGCAGCCTCCTTCTCTAAGGGAGGGCCCAGGCCTGCTGCCTCCCAGGAGATAGGTCAGATGAATCACATTGTGACTAGGCTGTTGCCAAGCCCAAGCCTCAACTCAGCACCCAGCAGTCTCTTTCTTAGCTTTAGATGTCTGTTTCGAAGACCTTCTGATAAAGACAGGTTTTCATCTTTTGGAAGCAGCTGGAGGGAGAAGGCTACAGCGGAGGAGGGAGGGCCACAGCCGCACAGGCAGAGTGCGTGAGTGTGCGGGGCGAGGGGCGGATGGGCGCGGCTTTATCATCCACCAAGGGCAGTCAGTCAGACTTGGACCAGTATGTACGGGCCGATCCAGCAGTCGGCGAGTTCCCGCAGGGTGCTGTATCTCTGCTCAAACTCCTCCTGGCCGCAGTGCTGCAGGAGCCGGCCCACCTCCTGCGTGAGGAAAGCCACGGCCAGGCGCTTCTCCATGGACTCGCTCCGCTGGCTGTTCAGGATGCCTTCAAGGCTGGCTGCCCAGCCTGCCTCCCAGTGAGCCGGCAGCAAGTCTGGCTGCAGCACCTGGCGATTGGAGCTGAGCACAGCCAGGATGTGGCGGCAGGGCAGGTGGAAGGCGTGGTGGAAGTAGCAGCTGCAGCTGGCAGGGGGCTGGAGCTGCACCCTGTGGGTGTCCTCCAGAATCTGGATGTTCGCTCTTTCTGACGCAGTGCCGATGAGGTGCACAGACTTCTGCACCACAGCAAACTGGCCCAGGCAGAGGCGCGTAGCTTGCTCAGTGCAGATGGCGTTGAGGGAGTTCTGGATGAGGGATTCTACCAGCTGCACGCTGGGGCTGGTGTACGAGGGGATGGAGTTGTGCTGGATACTCAGACCCAGTTCGAAGCTTGCAGAGTTTTTCTGCAGGTACAGCAGCAGAGAGGTCAGGCTTTGCTCCACACAGGAGCTGCTGCCAAAGAACTGGCTGAGAGAGTGGGTCGTGACCTCCAGGCCCTGGAAGTACAGGATGCTCTGAGCCTGGCTGCGCGAGCTCTGGACCAGCCAGATACGGTCATCAAGCAGCCAGTGCAAATGAAGCCTGGGCAGCTGGGCAGGTGGCACGTAGCTGCTCACCAGCTCATGCAGATTCCGGAGGTTGCTGGCAGTGGCTGCGCACATGGTACTCCGCAGGGAGGTCAGGAGCACCCTCTCCACCCGTTGCTCAAGGGAGAGCTCGTAGAACTTGCCCTGGAGAAACTTACAGATGTGGAAGGCTGAGATCAGAATTTCAGCGGCAGGGAACTCCATGGCCAGGGTGGGCCACAGGAAGAAGTGAGGATCTATGAAGATGGTAGAGACCCTCTCCCAGGCGGGGTTGGACACCTTGAACAGTTGGAATATCTGGGCCACGCATTCAGCATCTTCTCTGGCAGGAACAGCAAGGCAGATGGCCCAGGCCAGGGGATCCTCCAGTTGCACATGCGGTCCATCCACCAGAATGGTGTATAGTACCTTGCCTGTCAGGTTATAGGTCCGGTGGATAAACAAGAAATCAGGGAACTGGGCAAAGACGACCTTCATTGACTGACTCTGGCAGTAGAGGGTGTCGAACAGTGCAGGCTCGCTTGGCTGGGGGAGCAGCATGGGTGGGTCTGGGTCCTGAGGGACCTCTCTCAGCACAGGAAAGGCCATGGAGGAGACGAGTGGTGTCTAGCTGCCGAGGCCAAAGTGCTTGAGTCCGTGGGGCTGCGGGCCACGAGATTCTCGGTCTTTTAAGCTCTGATTAAGCGCAGGCTGGAGATCTTGTTTCAAAGATGGGCCTAGGAAAAGGAAGAGAGGTTTCAGGTGTTGATGGGTCCAGGATGATTTGCAATAAACCTGAAAACAAAATAAGGACAGGTGAGACAATGAAGGTTACAAAGACCTTAACACTAAGCAAACTGCAGAAGTGGTTGAGGTGGTTGAGGAAGCCACGTGTGATAAGGGGCCATAGAGAATGAGATGGGCTCGCAGACTTAACTAAGTCATCAGCCACTGAAAGATGAGATCCCACTGGATTGCAATTAAGTGCCTCTGAAAACCCACCAGAGGGTCAATTATGGGTCAGTTTCCAACTCTATGGTACTCAACAACAACAAAGTTCAGAGCAGCAGACAGCTTTAAAAATGCGTGACTTATCATGTATCTATCCTACTCCGTCCTTCAGGGTTGCCAAGGCATCAGAAGTCGACTCCCTGGCTCACAGAACACAGCACAGCATTTTATATTTACTAAATGCTCCACGGTGGCCATGTTCTCATCTGGTCCTGGATTCTGGAGAATTCCAGTTGTTTCCAAACTTGCCGTGGGATCCTGGGCAAGCCAGTGACCATCGCTGTGCCTCGATCGCATTGACCATAAATGCTCATAGCCTCTCCTACCGCTTATCAATCCATCTACTTCTCCATTAATGGCGTTACTCTATTCAAACGTTCCCTCTATTTGGATTGAAATGGGATTACTGTTCCCATTTTACAGATGAGAAACTGAGGCTCTGAAAGGTTGCATGGCGTGTCCACCATCACTTTGTAAGTAGGTGGGAACCGACGCTTTGGCTCGGGCGGCTGGCAGCTTTGCACAGAACTTGATCTTCAAAGAGCTGGGCATTAGTAGGGGCATGGCCATTGACCTCTCACCTCTAGGCCAGCTAGGAAAATGTGGACATTCGATGTTCTCACTCCAAGTCAGGTGAGGGCCAGATGGGAAGCCAGTCTCTTATCCCTTTGGGAGCTGTCTCATGGCTGACCCCGATCATCTGTTGCCTCACACCTCCATGCCTTCCAAAATCACTCACCCACTACTTGGCTCGGTCGCCATTGCTCCCAACTTGGTCGCGCAGCACTCTGATTGACCTCTAGGTTCACCAACCGCGGCGACAGCTCGCAGTGATTCCTACCAATGGCTTGAGGAGTTAGCGCGGGTCTTTGGTATCATGGACCAATCACTGCTCAGCGTGTTGTGGGTGGGCACTTGTTACCATAGTTACGAGTGGGCTTGGTTGGCGACAGCCAATGAGAGTTTGAACAGAGTTCCGGCTTCCAGACGAATCCTGTGGCTTGAATCCCGGAGCGGTCGGTCTATGTAGACCACCGGAAGCGTGAGCTGCTGGTGGAATCACGTTCTAAGGCCGAAAACGAAAATAAATAGCTATAGTTAATGGAAAAAAGGTTTATTCAAACCGTAAAGCTTCAGGGGTATTGAGGAAAGGATGCATCTATTCAGCGTCTCCCGCCCGATGGGGAAAACTGAAGTTCAGATCTCAAATCTGTCCCCCCCCAAGCTCGGGGGTCTCACCCTCCAGACGGTGGAGAAGTCCAGATCCGCTGGAGAGCTGGGAAACGTGGTGTTGTCTCCCCATATTTTCCAAAACCCCAGAATAGTAGTATATGTGCCTTGTTCAAGTTCATGCCGAGTTAGTGCAGAAACCAAGACTGACTGCCATGTTGGACTCAGGTCCTTGGAGATGTCAAACGTCCCTCTGGCGTTCCTAGGGAAGCTGGACAGCTATGAGCCTTTTAGGCAAATAACATTAAACTAAGACAACACAAAAACCAATCCAGGACTAGAAAATGCCAACATACTCATTTTCCCTGCTGAGGAAATTGGGGCCTAAGGTTCTGGTGTCAACAGCTCTATAAAGCACGTTTCCCCCCTTAATTTGATTCCTTTTGCTGGCATAAAAGGAGCAGCCTTGGTGGCAAAATGTTTAACGTGGGGCTGCTAAGGTTGGCAGTTTGAACCCACTCTCAACAGTCTCCTCCCTTATGGGGTGTATAGCCTTAGAAATCCAATATTGGATCCCTGAGTCAGATGTGAACCAACTTCAAGGCAGGGAGTTTTTAGCGTGGCTAGCATAAAGGACCTTCCTCCAGAGCCAGGAGGGCCTTCTAGTGCTGTCACCTGCGTTTAATCTTCTAACCCCCTAACGTGTAAGATAATGCGTTTCTGCTGCTGCTTTTATATATATATATATATTTGAAATACAACTTTATTCTGGTTCTAAACGAAAAGAATGGGAATGACAGGTTGTTTTATTTTTTTTTGCGTTTCTGCTTTTTAACGCAAAACACTTGCGGCATCTCTGTTAGAGTGGCCCTGGGCATTGGATAATTAGGATTGTTGTCACTGAGTAACCTACGACTCATGGAGACCCTATGTTGTTTCTGATTGCCTTCGAGTTCAGGACGACTCCCAATGACCTTGTGAACAAAAGGCTTGAAGCCTCTCTACAACTATCAACATTTATCAAAGTTCATAGAGTTTCTGGAAGCATGTTATTTAGGAAGTGGATTCCACTCCTGCTTCCAGTGAAGACCCTATATGTGCTGAGTAATAAGCTCTCTAAGGTTTCCCAAATAGCTTGTCTCCAGAAACTATGAACTTGGAGAAAGGATGAAAGTTATACAAGTGTTCAGGTCTTTCATTCATAGGGTCGCTATGAGTTGTCTACAACTTGACAGTACTTAACACCACCACCACCAACAACAGAGAGAGAGCTCTTTGGGCCAGGTGGATAGAAAGTTATGCTACCAAGTCAAAGATGGTTGATTTTAATCTGCTGCCCCAGGCCTGGTTTTAATTGGTTTTGGTCAAACATTCTTCTAGGTGGTATAGCACTGGTCTGTCCATTTGCTATACAGAGGTAACTTGAGGTTGCTGTGATGCTGAATACTGTGAAACAGATGCATCAAATGCAATAATGGTTATCCACGGTGGACAGTGTTTGGTGGAGCTCCCTGATTAAAACAAGCTTGGAAGCAGGAGTGGCATCCACTTCAGAAATAGCTTGCCTCCAGAAACTCTATGAACTTGGAGAAATGATGAAAGTTATACAATTATTCAAATCTTTCGTTCATAGGGTCCTTATGAGTCATCTACGACTTGATGGCACTTAACAGCAGCATAAAGGAACCCTGGTAACACAGTGGGTTGTTAGTTAGGCTGCTCCCCAAAAGTTGCTGTTTGCTGTCAGGTTGGAACTGACTCATCGCTGACCCTCCAGAGGTTTTCAGAGGCTATAAATCACATGGGAAGAGAGTCCCCACCTTTCTCCCAACTCTGTGCACACTTCTTAGCTTCTAACCAAAAAGTAGGCAGTTTGAGTCCATCAGCTGCTCCTGCACTCTGCCCCCATTAAAATTTACACCCGTGGCAATCTAGTGGAGCCATTGTACTGTCTTAAAGGATCACTATGGATAGGAATTAACTTGACAGTTGTTGATGTGTACCATCGGGTCAGATCTGCCCCATAGCTGACTTCAGTGGGTTTTCATAGCAGATTACCCATCCTTCTCCCATGGGGCAGCTGGTGGATTGGAACCACGTGCCTTCAGGATTGCAGCCCAGCCTCTTGCCATTAGGCCACCAGAGCTCCCTAACTTGACAGTAGTGATTTGGTTTCAGCTTTGATTTGCTTGCATAGAACTTATTCACATCCTTTGGTATGCAGGTAACACAACCTTGTTAGCTGAAAGCAAAGAGGACTTGAAGCACTTACTGATGAAGATCAAAGACTCTGCACACTCTTTCAGGTCACTTTTTCCACAGCTTCCACCTGGGGACAGGAGGATCTGCATGTTGTTATTGTTGTTTGTGTGCTTTTGAGGCAGAATGAACTCATAGTTGAGCCTCCAGCGGGTTTTCAGAGGCAGTATACACGGGAGATTGCCCATCCTTTTCCTGAGAAGTAGCTGGTAGATTCAAAGTGTGCCTTTAGGATTGCAGCTCAGTTCCTTACCACTAGGCCACCAGAGTTCCCTTACATACCACTTTCAATATAGATTACACCTCAGCATTAAAAACAAAAACCTCACAACAAGAAACCATGAAGTGACATCATGATAAATGGAGAAAAGACAGAAACTATCAAGGATTTAATTTTCATTAGATGCACAGTCAACATCTTTGCAAGCAGCAGACAAATCCAACGATGTATTGCACCTGAGAAAGGTGGTGCAGGGCAAGCTCTGATGGCCTAGTGGCAAGAAGCTGCACTGCAATCCCAGAGGTACGTGGTTCGAATCCACCAGATGCTCTGCTGGAGGAGGGGCAATCTCTTCCTGTACCAGTCAGATCCAATTGATGGTACACACACACATAAAATTTTTTTAAAAAAAGCTGCTGCAAGATTTCTTTAGAGTATTAATGAGCAAAGGTGTCAGCTTGAAGACAGAGGTATGCCTAAGTGCCTAACCCAAGCCATGGTATTTTCTAGAACCTCATAGGCATGCAAAAGCTGGACAATTAAAGAAATTGAAAGATCATTTGTTACGTGAGTGGAGTTGGAACCAATTCATAGCTGACCCTCCAGAGAGCTTTCAGAGGCTGTCAATTGCACAGGAGGACATCTTTCTTCCATTGAGTAGCTGGTGGATTTGGACTTCATTCCTTTGGGTTGGCAGTTCAACTCCTTACTCCCTAAGCCATTAGAGCTTGGTGTCTTTGAAGTATGGTGTTGGTGAAGAACATGGAATATACCACGGACTGTCAAAAAAAGAAACAGGTCTATCTTAAACGTAGAGACAGAATGCTCCTCAAAAGCAAGTTCTCAAGAGGGGCCAGTCACTGGGGAAGGACATCATGCTTGGCCCTTACTGAGATGGATCGACACTCTGGCTGTATGAATGGACGTAAGCGTAGCTGGTTGTGAGGACAGCAGAGGGCTGGGCAGTATTCTGTTCTGTCGTATGCATGGTCACTGTAAGCTGGAACTGACTCGAAGGCAGTTAACAACTTGCCTGAAATAAATTTGAAGCCTTCATTGGTAGGTGAAGGATGGGGTGGTGGAGCATTACATCTTTGAATTTGAGGCATTAGATTCTGTCTGGCTACACAATGACATTAGGCTGACAATCCTCAACTTCCTTTAAAATCAGCAGATTCAACCTGGAGGGCCAACTTTTTTTTTTATTTTAAATTTTTTATTTTTTTCTACAGAGGTTATGGATTTCCATTCATTCATTGCCGCAATTTTCTCCCTGCCCACCCCTCCCCACCAGCTCGCTTCCCCCTCCAGAGAGAAAAAAAGAAAAAACAATTCCTTCATTAGTATACAATTCCCACGTCCCTTCTCCCCACCCCCCAACCCGGAGTACACTTCTCTATGCAACCTTAATTCTGGATTCCTGTGCGAACCATAATACTCAATCATATATCACTTCTAATCTGTTCTTTCCCTCATCTATTCCAATACAAGTTTTAATTATTTGTGTGTGTGTGTGTGTGTACTGTCAAATTGAGATTGTTCAGTTTTGGTTTGCTTGGATCCACAGTCAACACTCGGCACCAGCACCCAGGAAATTAAGAGACATATTGCGATGGGACAGTCTGTGATTAGAGACCTCTCTAAAGTGCTGAAGTGCAAAGATGTCAGTCTGGAGACTAATGTAAACCTGATACAAGCCATGGTCTTTGCAATCACTTGCTATGAATAGGAGAGCTGAACAATGACTAGGGATGAAGGACAATTGATGCCTCTGAGCTGTGGTGTTGGACAAGAGTACTGAATATACCATGGACTGCCAGGAAAACAAACAGGTTTGTCCTGGAGAAGATGAAGCCAGGCTGCTCCTTAGAAGTAAGGATTCTGAAGCTTTGTCTGATATACTTTGGACACATTGCAGTAGGGGACCCATCCTTTGAGAGGGACGTCATGCTTGGGAGGGTGGAAGGACAGCGTAGGAGAGGAAGACCCTCTATGAGATGGATTCAGTGACTGGGGTAATGGGGGTAGGTGTGTCGGAGATGGTGAGATTGGCACAGGATAAGTCAGAGTTTAGGGCTGTTGAACACAGGGTTGCTAGGAGTTGCAGGTAACTTGATGGCACGTAACAACAACACTGTCAAACTGGATCTGACTGGTACAGGAGATTGCCCCTCCTTCTCCAGCAGAGCATCTGGTGGATTTGAACCGCACACCTCTGGGACTGCAGTGCAGTCTTACCACTAGGCCCCCAGAGCTCCCAGCCCCCACTTCTGGACAGCAATGTCAGGTGTTCTCTAACTGGAATTGCAACCACCGGATGCAACTCCCCTCCCTCCCTGCTCAAGCAGAACACATGTCTCATTTGGTTTTACTCAAGCAAATACTTTATTTAAATGGAATAAAATATGTATAAACAATAGTTTTCATAAATAGCAGCAGTTAAGGGTCCCCTTCCCTCCCTTTGTCCCCAATACAGACTCTTTTGACAGGCCCATTTTGCCTCACTCCTGGAGCGAGGGTTTATCTTTGTGCAGTGAATCAGATCAAAGCCCAGGGGTCGGGAGAGAAGGAAGGGGGGGTGTCACCTTTCAGCAGGACGATAACTGACTATGAACAAGGAAAGGGGCTTTTGAAGAATGTCAAAGGCTGGACAGAATGGGACATGTGCCAGGGCCATCACACACTAAATCGTCTCCTCTCCCTGCTGTAACACCCCGAGTCCCTCCTAGGAAGATACTGTAGAAAATGCTGAGTCCTGGCAACTTCTGCCACTTGGAGCTCTCTGATTTCCAAAAACATGGATTTGGGGGGCTGGAACTCCACTGGAGGTGCTCTGGTCACAAGCTGGCAGGAAGGAACCCCTCCCCTTCCTCCTGCTTTCCCCAGAGGAAAGGGAGGCAGCCCACATCCACGAAGTCGTCGGGCTGCTGGCCTGGCGTGGCTGGCTGGCTGGAGTCGGACCAGATGTGCACGAACTTGTGCAGGGTGGCGCAGCGCTCCTCCAGCTCTCGCCCCTCACTCTGCATCAGGAGGTTGGCCAGCTCCCTGCTCAGGTCCTTAATCAGGTCCTTCCGTCCTGGCTTCTCAGGCTGGCCCGTACTGGCAGCCAGGACGGGGTCCCGGAACTCGCCGTCGGGCCCCAGGAGGGCCTGGTACCTCTTCTGCCACCGGCAGCCCACCATGGCTTCAGTCACGGGCTGCTGGCTGGTGTGGAGCAGGGCCAAGATGTGGCGGCAGGGCAGGTGGTACTGCTGCTGGAAGGAGCAGGTGCAGCTGCTGCCGTCTCTGCTAGCTTGGTGGGAGTCCTCCAGCATCTGGATGTCCACTGAGGAGCCAGCCACGCCTATCAGCTGGGTAGAATTCTCCACCACGTCCCACTCATGACAGCACAGCTTGTAGGCCAGCTCAGAGCCCCTCTGGAGCAAAGCGTCTAGCATGCCATCCAGGGGAGGCGGCGCCGGTGACAGCTGCTGTGCCTGGCCCTGCAGCTGTGTGTCTTGCTTTGTTCCCTCCTCCAGGAGCCAAGAAGGACTCAGGAGGTTTCTTTCGCCGCTTCCTAAAATCTTCCTGACCCTGGGTGGCATGCCACTTGCTGGCCGGGCCCTCTTCAGCATGTAGGGAGCTGTGGACAAGTTCTTCAAGCCTCTGCTGTTGAAGAAGTCCATATAGTCCACAAAGTGCAGGATGCAGTCAAGCAGGGACTGCTGCTCCCGGAAGAGGCTCGACACCTTGCTGGTGATGATGTCCAGGCTGTCCATGTAGGTGTTACATGCGTGGAGGCCCTTCCTGAAATGCATGTACCACAGCAGTTCACAGGAGAACCAGTGGGTCTGCAGGAACTCGAAGAGCTCCTGGTCCAGCAGGACTTGGGACATGCAGGAGAGTTTCTGCAGGCTGTCCTCTGAAGTGGCAAACACCACCTCCCGCAGGGCCTCCTTCATGTGCTTTTGGAAGGAGGCGTCTTTTGAACTGCGATGCAACTTCTTCTCCAAGAGCCGGGTGGTGTGGTAAATGGAGAGCAAGATGCGGGCAGACGGGAAGATCTCTTGCAGGATGGACCAGTAGGGGAAGCACGGGTCCACAAACACCACCCTGACTTTGGGCCAGCTGGAGTTGAACTCTCTGAAGACGTTCAGCATCCTGGCCACGGACGCAGGCGTCTCGGCTTGGAGCACGGCAAAGTGGACCACCCGCCCCTCTCGCTCCTTGTTCTCCACCAGCAAAGTGTAGAGGATGTGGCTCTGGGCTTTCTCCACTCGGTGCAGCAGCAGGTTCTCGGGGAAGCGGGCGAACAGGTCACTCATCTTGCTGCTCTGGAAGCTGAGCCGGTCCAGGTCCTGGCTGCTGCCCACACTGAGCGAGGCCATGGAGCCTTTGTCCACCCGGAGAAAGTTCTTCATCACTTTGGCGATATCGGACAGGTCAGAGGCAGTGATGCCCTCCTGCTCAGGCCTGGGAGCCGCTTGGGCCTGATGTAAGGAGAGTGACAGTTTGAGTGGAGACCCCTCAGCATCAGGGTCTGGGTTGGCTGGGGGCTGCACAGGCCGGGGTTTCTGGGGTCTCTTTGCCTTTTGAGATCGACGAGCAGCGTCTCCAGGGTCCGTAGTTCTGGCATCATTGTGCACGTGCGTGGTGTTGAGCTCACTGACGAGGAGGTGGTCCAGCTTCTCATTGTACTGCAGCAACAAGTAGGCAGGGCACATGTTGGCCTCCTGTGCTCTCTTCCTCTTTGCTTGGTTCCAAATACAGACAAATTTCACCTGCACGTATCTAGGGAAGGGAGAGATTACAGTGAGAAGGATGTGCGTCACCCCCTTCCTCTTGGAGAAAACCCTGGAGCTGACGCTTTTGGGGAGCTGTATTGACAGAGATGCCTCCTGGATACAGGAAGGAAAATGTAGGTAAACTCTCAAGTCCCAAAGTATCCAGGCCTTTCGTTAAGACTCTCCCCAAACACAAACCTCCCACTTTCATCTACAGTCGTTCTAAGGCTCATTCACTCTGTGGCCCGTTTTGTTGTTGTTACGTGCTGGTGAGTCAGAACTGGCCCCGTCGCTGTCTCTCACGGAAGTTTTCAGAGACTGGAATCACAGGGGAGCACAAGTGCCCGTCTTCTCCTGCATTCCAACCGCCTGTCTGTGAGTTTGTAGCAAAACTCCGTATTACTAGGCCACCAGCTCTCAGAGACCAACTATTCAACCCGAGGCAAGATGACAACGGAAAATAGAGGAGAGGTGGTGGCAAAGTGACCGAGGGGGTCCCGCACTGTCTAAAATGTCCCCTCTCTCCTGTCTTCTAGGAGCCACTATCAAACAAGATGTACAGGCAGACAGTGATGCTTGGAAAAAGGAGGGTCATTAAATGGAGTATCTGTGTCTTCTCGCCTCCTAGCCTCATTTTGCCCATGCTTGAAGGCCTAATCACCTCCCACCTGCTCCCAGGAGCCTTCGTGATGTCCTCAAGCAACAGTACAGCTTCTCTTCGGGTCTTGTAGCCTTTATTGAAAAAGTAGAGTAGTGGTTAAGTTCTTGGTGAGCTAACCAGAAGGTTAAGGGTTCAACCCTTCAACGCCCCTGTGAAAGAAAACTAGCAACTGGTTTCCTTAAAGTACAGCCTTAAAATCCTATGGGGCAGCTTTACTCAGCCCTCTGGAGTTGGTAATTTGGAATTGATGGTACGGGTAATCGAAAAAGCTTAGCTAAATGACAGTATACGTAGTAGCAAACCTAGGCTACACTGGAGGCATGCTGTCTGGATCCGAATCCTGGTTTCACCCCTCAGGAGCTGTGAGCCTTGGGAAAGTCACCTTGCTTCTCTGCATAGTTTCCTCATTAAAAAAAAAAATCCTTGCACTGCAATCCCAGAGGTACAGGGTTCGAATCCACCAGATGCTCTGCTGGAAAAGGAGGGACAATCTCCCCCTGTACCAGTCAGATCTGATTTGACGGTACACACAAAAAATAATTTTAAGAATTTTTAAAAAATTCCAGTTACTGTGGAGTTGACTTAGGACAACACCGTCTGCATCAGAGGGGAGCCGGGCTCCACAGGGTGCCAAGTGGCTGATCACCAGGTCTGTCTTCCGAGTTGCCTCTGAGTAGACTTAAGCCGCCAGGCTCCTATTAGGAGACAAACGTGTTACTTGTGCCACCTGGAGACGCCATCAAAAAATGAGGCAAACTTACTACAGTCGTTATAAGGAATAAATGGAGCACAGGTGTCAAACTGAGCCCAGAGTTTGTAAACTCAATAGAGGTTAGCCACTGCTAGTATTAAGCAGCTCAAGTGGTTACATGTTTCTTTAACTGAAAGGTCATCGGTTTGAATCCACCCATGGCTCCTTGGGAGAAAGACAGTCTCCTCCGGTAAAGATTTACAGGACTGGAAACCCCATGTTGTGGTGTTACCATCGAGTGGGAACCGACCCATAGCTGACCCTGCAGCGGCTTTTCAGGGGCAGCAAGTTGCATGGGACGAGACTGCCCATCTTTCTCCCGTGGAGCAGCTGGTGGGTTCAAATTGCATCCCTTTGGGCTGGCAGTGCAATTCCTTACCACTCAGCCACCAGCGCTCCCTCTGAACCCGACGGAGGGGCCTGTGAGTCAAGAATGCCTGGGAGCCGTGGGTTTGGTTCCTGGCACTGTTATTCTTATGACTCTGGTGCCTTGTGACAATCTTTCGGATGTTGTTTCCCCTCTGCTACTTCTTAAATATTTATGAAGTGACTTTTTCAATTAAATGGGGAAGTCTTCAAGTGTCAGGATGGAGCCCGTCCTCATGTTCCAAATGTGTCAGTCAGTGTTATTCCTCCATCAGATGCTTATCAAAGAACCAGTGGAGGGATGAATCACTGGTGGGCGGGACAGGTCATACTCCCTGCCTCCTCAGGGAGTGTTCCAGCCAAAGACCAGAAGCCGACAGAAAGCAATGGGAACCGAGGAGAACTGTCCCAGGGGCTTTCCTCGCTGCACCTTAGGGAAGCAGCCAGCCAGACTTTTCTTCCGAAGCACGGTTAGGTGGGTTGGAACAGCAACCTTTAGGCTAGCAAGTGAACACAAGCAGTCTGTTCCACCCCGAGACCTGCCCAAAGACCAGAAGGGGCAAATATCTCAGCTGCTAGCATGACAAGGGAGAGCCCTTTTCCAAATATTAATCCAGCTCGGCTCGTTTGCCTATCCTGTGGGGTAACCTTAGAAAAACAGGAAACATCACGGTCCTTAATAACAGGGTGGAGAGGCCTGGGGCTGAGGACGTCCCCACCTGCCATGAGCACAGTGCGGGGGCAGGAAGAGACTGGAGCAGCCCACAGGACGGCGGTGCCAGGGTGGGGTGCCCATCCGAGGCCTCTGCCTGAAGTTCTGCTGTGCTTCCACTGTCACTCATCTTGTTCTTTAGGCTCTAGAAAGACAACTGGCCCCAGGATCCTCGGTGCGACGAGCTGTCTCCCCTTGGGGCCTTTGCTCGTGTTTGTCCCTTTGTCTGGAAAGCCCTTCCCATTTTCTTCCGCCTCTAAGTTGACTCATCCTTAAAACCCACAGTTATGGGGAGCTCTGGTGGCCTAGTGGCAAGGAGCTGCAACTACAATCCTAGAGGCACACGGTTCGAATCCACCAGATGCTCTGCCGGGAAA